GGGGCGGGGGGGGGGCGGGGAATTGGAGACAATGTTAAGGAATGTCCCACAAAGAGAAAATATATTGAGCCAATTAACAAACTTAAATGGAGATTAACCAGTCACTTAAAGACCACAGCAGCCCAAAGGTGAGTGATTATGCACCTAAAGTTGAAGGGTTCTCCTTGGATTTTAGCTCCATGCCCACCTCACCTCCAGCCACACAGAGTCCATGGGTGATCATGTGAAGGGCTTGCTTGAGCACATTCAGAGAAACATGTACACACATCCAATTTACTAAAGAAAACCAACACGTATTCTGGATTAAAGGTAGTAAAGGACCTCTTTAGAGCCTGTTTCCTATGATTTAATATATTTATACTAGAGGCCCAGTGCACAAAAATTTGTGCACTCGGGGGGTGGGGTCCCTCAACCCGGCCTGTGCCCTCTCTCAGTCTGGGATCCCTCAGGGGATGACACCTGCTGGTTAGGCCTGCTCCCCAGGGGATTTGGCCTAAGCTGGCAGTCAGACATCACTCTGGCAGCCCGGGAGGCCTCGGGGGATGTCCACTTGCCAACGGGGAGCAGGCCTAGCTGCAGTCGGACATCCTTAGCACTGCTGAGGAGGCGGGAGAGGCTCCCACCACCACCGCTGTACTGGCAGCCATCAGCCTGGCTTGTGGCTGAGCAGAGCTCCCAATGTGGGAGCACACTGACCACCAGAGGGCAGCTCCTGCATTGAGGGTCTGCCCCCTGGTGGTCAGTGTGTGTCATAGTGACCAGTAATTCCCAGTCTTTCTGCTCTTAGGGTCAGTTTGCATATTACCCTTTTGCTATATAGGATAGAGGCCTGGTGCACAGGTGGGGGCCAGCTGGTTCGCCCTGAAGGGTGTCCCGGATCAGGGTGGGGGGTCCCGCTTGGGTGCCTGGCCAGCCTGGGTGAGGGGCTGATGGCTGTTTTCAGGCTGGCCACATCCCCTTTAGGGTGGGGGTCCCCACTGGGGTGCCTGGCCAGGCTGGCTGAGGGGCTGAGGGCCGTTTTCAGGCTGGTCGGCGACTGAAGCTCCCAGCCTCTCCTTTTTTTCTTTTTTTTTTTTATTCTGGAATTTATTTACCTTCTATAATTGAAACTTTGTTGCCGTCACTGGAGCTGAGAGCCGGCTCCTACTCGCTCCAGCTCTGAGGCCATGGCCTGCTGAAAGCAGGTATCTGGGGTTTGTTTAGCTTCTATAATTGAAACTTTGTTGCTTTTGGAGCTCAGAGCCGAGCCACGGCAGGTGGGGAACCTTGGCTTCCTCCATCACTGGAGCAAGCAAGCCTCCTGCTCGCTTCAGCTGGGTGGCTGCCGGCCGCCATCTTGGTTGGGTTAATTTGCATATCATGCTGATTAGCGAATGGGAGGCGTAGCGAAGGTATGGTCAATTACCATGTTTGTCTATTATTAGATAGGATGATTAATGGGAAGGATTCTTCTCATGTAAGCAAACTTACAGAGAGGTGCTTTTTCTGCCACAATCCCCACTTCCAATCTGACCCAGCTATACCTTTTTGGGGGGCTGTGTGGCTGGGTTGAAAGAGCATGTAGGAAAAACAAAGTGGTAATCATGGTTATCACAGAAGAGGGAAATTATATGGAGGTTGAGAAAAGAAGAGAAATTAGTAATTTTACTTTATCCTGCATTGTTCAATGACTTTATAATGAGAATACATATGTTCCGTTACTTCTTTAATTTTTATGTGCTTTATTAATTTATTTGATTTACTTTCTTTGTTGATAATTCATTTGGGGATTCACACTTACCTATGGTAAAATGTACAGATCTGTAGTGATTCTGAGAAACAAATCTGACGTGTAGCCATCGCCTCAGTCAAGACACAGAACGCTTCTTTTGCCCGAAGAGGACGCCTCGGGTCCCCTTCCACTCACACTTTACTCCTGTGGGCAGTCTCAGTTCTGAATTCTATCACTTTGGTTTTGCCAGTTTCTGATCATTCTTATAAACGGAATAACACACCACTTACTCTTTTCTGTCTCACTCCTTTTGCACAGCACAGTGTTCTTGAGATTTATCTATGTTGACATGTCTCATAATTCATCTTTTCAATTGTTCAGTATCAATTCCACCCTATGAATATATCACAAATGTTAATCCTTTCTCCTTTTGACGGACATTTGAGTTTTTTCAAGTTTGAGACTATTCTTTTTTTAAGTTGTTAACATTTTTGTACAAATCAGTTTGTCAATACACAGTTTTGTTTCCCCACGGGTTTCTCTGCAATAAAAATCTGAGTGGAATTGCCGTACCATGGGAGAAGGTATATATTTCACTTTAGAAGAAACTGCGCAACAGATTTCCATTCCACCTCCTACCAACAATGTATGAGCTACAATCATTTCTAACATTTGGGTCTAAAACAGTATCCAGTAATTTTTATTTACATTTCTCAAATAGCAAATAATGTTGACCACCTTTTCATGTATTTGTTGGCCATTTGTATGTCTGTTTTGGCAAAGCTTTTGTCTTTTTTTATTGAGTTATTTGTCTTTTTATTATTGATGGGTGTAAATTCTTTATATGTCCTGGATACAATTTGTATGTCAGGCATATGTATTACAGTTATTTTTCTTTCAGTCTGTAGCTTGCCATTTCATTTTCTTAATGGTGTATTTTAATAAACCAGAGGTTTTTCACTTTGATGAAGACCAAAATATCCATCATTTTTCTCTTTTATATTTCTTTTTGTGTCATTACTATCTTTGTCTACTGCCAGAGTTAGGAAGATACTTTCCTCTGTTTTCTTCTAAATACTTTATGGTTTTAACCTTTATGTTTAGGTCCATAATCCATATCTAATTTATATTGTATAAGATTGAGGTTTATATTTTCCATACATTTGTTCAGTTGTTCTAGGACGATTTGAGGCAAAGATTTTCTATTTTCCATTTAATTGATTGGGTGCCTGTTTTAAAATCAATTAACCTTATAGGTCTGAGTCTATTTCCAAACTCTCTATACTTTCTATTGATCAACTTATCTATCCTTATGTCAGTGCTACACTGGCCTGATTACCATAGCTTTACAGTATTTAATTCAAGAGCTCAGAATCCGATTTGTTCTACTTTTTTCATGTTGTTTTGGCTATTCTTTGAATTTCCACATACATTTTATAATTGTCTTATCAATATTTATAAAATCCTGCTGAGATTTTGTTTAATATTATATATGCCAATTTGAAGGATTTTTCCATCTTTTTCTTACTGAATTTTGCTAATCCAGGAAAGTAGCTCTCCACTTATTTAGATCTTCTTTAATAGCTCTCAGGAATATTTTGTAATTGTCATTGCAAAGGCCTTAAACATCTTTTATTAACTGTTATTTCTAAGCATTTTATATTTCTATTGCAGAAATGGAGCTGTTCTTTTTTAAAATGATTTTCTAATTTTTTGATATTAAACTATAGAAATATAACTGCCTTTTGTACAATGACTTTGCTGAATTCACTTCATTATTTCCTGTAATTGTATTGGAGAAAATGGTCTTCCATGTAAACAAACATGTGGTCTGCAAATAAAGGGTCTTTTTTTTTCCTTTTCCAATCTGGGTGCCTTTTACTTCAGAGATTTAAGATGTTATTCCAGTGTTTTCTGGTTTCCATAGTTTCTGATGGAAAGTGATAATTTTTCCTGGATGTTTACAAGATTTTCTATTTGTCTTTGTTTTTCAGCCATTCAACTATGATGTGCTTAGCTTTTATGATGTGTGTTTTTTTTTCCACATTTGGGAAATTTGGAGCCATTATTTTTTTAAATATTTGTTCAGCCAAATTCTTTTCTTTCTCTCTTCTTGTTCTGGACCGTTAATTACATTTATCCCTTTGATGTTGTTCTACAGGTCACCAAGACTTTTTATCTCAGAATAAATAATGTCTATTGACCTATCTTCATGTTCACTAACCCTTTGTTCTGCCATCTTCAATCTGCTGTTAAATCCATCCCATACATTCAGTACATTTAAAAAAATTGTAGGTACTTGTTATAGTATTTTTATTTTGTTCTCCTTTATAGTTTCCACTTCTCCATTAAGATTAAACATCTGTTCCATAACCCTAACAATGTTTTATGTTTAGCCCTGGAACATATTTACAAGAGCTGCTCTAAAGTCATTTTTCTGCTAGTCCCAACATCTGGATCATCTTAGGGTCAGAGTTGAAGACACACAAATGAAGCATACTTGTGTTGTTATTCCATTGTATACAGAAACTACTACTTGAATTAAGACAAATACCTTTTTTTTTCCTACAGTGACGGCCTTTTGGTTGTAGGGTGCCTGAATTTTATTAAACTGCAAGAGATATATTTCATCAAGACAAATAAATTCTTACTGATTGGAGACAGCAAAATATGTGTGAAGCTTGGACAAAGGATCTTAACTTGCAGGAAAATGAGCATAGTCCATATAGGTAAGAAGAGTGGGGGGGCGGGGGGATGACTTCCATCTTTCAGGTATCTGAAGATATTGACCGTCTCTGGAGTTTCTGGATTTTAAAAGTACACAGATCATGAAAGCTATTTGCATTAGAGAATAGCAAATTCTCTGATACAAATAATTTTTATTTTATTTTTCAACCACAGTTTGCATTCAATACCATTCTGCACCAGTTTCAGATATTCAGCAAAGTGGCCAGAAAAAAACATGCACCCTACACAGTGGTCCCTCTGCTGCCCCAAGCACCCCACCTGCCCCATAGCCCGTTATCTCAAAATCATTGACTGTATTCCCACACTGCAAACTGCATCTCTGTGGCTATGCTGCACCTACCAATTGGTACTGCTTGATTCCTTCAACTTTTCACCCAGCCCCCCTACTTCCCTCCCCTCTGACAGCTGTCAGTCTATTCTTTGTGTCTATGAGTCAAATCATTTTTTAAAAAAATGAAAGTTTTGAAGCTTATGCTATTAATTCTTACCGTAATAATTCTCTGGGTTTTCACACTCCATGAGTGAGAGTGGTTGGAACCTATACATCAAAGAGAAATTCATCCATATCATGTGTTAAACTGGAGCTGGGTCTCCAGTCATCCAATCACTCATGTCCTTTCCTTCCTCATCTCACCTTCTCCTAAATTTTCTGTAGTCTTCTCCCCCTATACTTACCACATTCTGAGTGTGTTTAGCTAAATAATCACATCATTCTAAAAAGTAAATATACCTTCTGGATATTAAAGTTCTCCAGAGGAAACAGAACCATTAAGTTTATACACTAGAGGGCCAGCGCAGGAAATCATGCATGGGTAGGGCCCCTAGGCCTAGCTTGCAATCAGGGCCATCTTCCGCCCGCTCGCCAGTCCCCAGTCCTGCCCCACTGCCACCCACCCAGTGCCCCATGGTTCCCCGTTCGCCATGCTGCAATCGGAGCCTGTGGGCAGGGGGAGGGACCAAGAGGTGGTCAATGCACCTCATAGCAACTGGTCAAGCGGTTGTTCCAGTCGTTATGCCATTATGGTCACTGGGCTTTTATTATATAGGATATTTTAAGAAATTGGCTCACACGATTATGGGAGCTGGTAAATCTGAAATTTGTAGGGCAAGCCAGAAAGCTAGAAATTGAGGTTAGCATGGATATTATAGTCTTGAGTGCAAATTCCCCAAGACAGGACAGGCTGTCTGGAAACTCAAGCAGGTTTTTTATGTAGAATTCTTGAGACAGAATTTTTGCTTTTTCTGGGAATCTGTCGTTGCTTTTCAGGCCTTCATCTAATTGGATGAAGACTACCCTATAGAGGATAATCTGTTTTACTCAAAGTCTACTGCTTTAAATGTTACCTGTGTCTTTAAAAAAAAAAAATACCGTACTTCAGATTAGTGTTTGACTAAACAAGTGGACACCATATTGACACATGAAGTTACTATCACACCTTCCTAAGAGACCCTATTATTGAGGATTGATGCTGAATCTGATTTGACCTAGAATACATATATCACATTTGGCTAAAAAATATAGTTCAAATAAAATTATAATTATAATTTGAATTACTAAACTCATCTGCATGTTTTCTTTGAATCTATATAATGTCCATATACGTAATAATAAAATCAATAAATTCATTCAATTAACTGGTTATAAGTCAATTTCAATTACCAATTTAACTTTTGGTTACCAGGCAAGTAAATCAAAACAATCAGAGAGACTGGGATAAAAAAAATGTTTTCCATTGCTTACAGATTTATGACCCTGAGGTGAGTAAAGTTCTTTATACTCAGAGATACCCTGGTATAGGGCGAGGTCTGAGCCAATTATGATACATGAGTACAATGGAATCCCAACTACTTGCACATATTCTACCTGTGGAGATTTCATATGTATGTATGAAGAACTGTTCAAAGCGATTGACAAGATGAATTCTTTTGCTGGTTTTAAATACTATGGCTCTGTCTCTCCATATTCTCAACCCCACCCCTGACTTACCCTCTAAAAATAAAGTTAAATGTAGGAGAGCACTACCCCTTAGAGACCATAAAGAGAAACTTGGAATTTAGTCTCAGCTTTACTTCACTGAGGTGGTAAAATAAAGAGTGAAGGCAAAAGTTCCAGATGTGAACAAGTATCGGTGGAGAAGAGACCAAACAGGTGTGAGTGCCAGCCAGGCGGGGATGACAGTCACAGTCTGTGACATAGCCAGCTAGGTTTTGCTCATCTGGAGACCCAGCTGCTGTGGATGGGTGTTCAGTTTGTGCCCTGCACGAGAGCACTGTATTTCAGGTTTACCATTTGCATTACAAATACTATCTATTCGCTCTCAGTCCTCTGGCAGAGCCCTGGAGCAGCAGAGGAGAGCCCCTTCCTACAGAAACCCACGCCGCACACATGGCCCGCGTGCATCTTATAGGGAGAGAGAGCGTGTGAACACTCATGGCACATCCATAGCCCCGGGCCGGGGGGCACCCTGCCCCATCGGAATCCCCAGATCTCACATGCCCATAGGATCCATATTCTACACCACCGAGCAGTCTACAAACCTGACATGCCTCATTTGAGGGGCCAGGTGGGGGTGGGGAGAGGCAGTGTGTGCACACTGCTGGTAGCATGGACCCTCTGGAGTATTACAGGAGAACCTCGGGGCTTTGGAAAGCACCCCTGGGGAACGAGGAGGAGGAGTGGTGGGGGTGAGTCTACAGTAGCATCTTTTCTGGCTCCGTCACTTAATGAAACGTAAGCTGGATGCTCCTGAGTGAACCTCACGGCCAGGGCTCCCCTGCAGCGACCTGCCTCCTCACCCACTTCCTGTCTTTAGGTCTAGAGGGGCAGCGTCCTGCCTTCCTACTTTTCTTGGCAGGGTACATTTATATAATTGCTCAGGTTGTGCAAGAATTAATACACGTTTTAAACTGTTTGCTTGAGGAATGAGCATCCTTTTCAAATGTGCTCATAGACAGCATTTAGGCTAGAGGCAGACATGGGGAGGGGCCCTGAACAAGCCAGTGGGAAGCAACAGAGTCAGAAACAAAAGCTAAAGGAAGCACCGCGAGGATCAGGTCAGACAAGATTGAATTTCAGTCCCCTTAAACCACCCCCACAGGGGCCTCTCTGAGACTATATTAGCTATAAGTGATTGTTGATGGAAGATGGCACAACTAACACACTTGGTACTTAGTAGATATATAATCAATATTAGTCTGGTCTTCCCTTAATTCTTCCTTTATCTTCCTCGGGAGATGGGGATGGAAGGAACTCCATGGCAGATTGCTTGTTGAGAATGTGAATTTTAAATATTCCCTTCAATGAAGAGTAGGAACCAGCTTGGCAAGTGTCAAGGGGTTGACAGCATTCTCTGTTGACTTGTTTCTCTACACCCATCTCCTTTCCTCCTGCTTCCTTTTAGGGCACCGTCCCTTTATCTAGTGCATCCACGTTAATAGAGGATCAACTTCCCCTTTCATGAGACATCAAGGGTAAGGAAGGAGCCACTTCCTCTTTATAGTACTGCTGGAGCATTACAGGAGAAACCTGGCCAGTCAGCACTATGAGAAACCGATGGCAGTATGTGGGTCAAACCCCACCGCACGAGTTCATTTCACTGGGTCAGCAAGTCAGTCTGAGAGCCCAGCTTGGACTGCCCGGAATCCAGCTCCGTCTGCTGAGTGAAAGTTTGATGAACACACTCTCTCATTCATTAACAACAGGTTTAGGTTAGACTTTAACTTATGTGTTCCCCCATCTTCTTGAGATAAGCCATGCAGAACAGTGGCTGCCACATCTTCAGATAACTGACCTCCCAGGTTTTGGTGAAAGAGCAGCTAAGAGGCCAAGAGGGGGAAGCCTCCTGCCAGTGTGGGGAGGCAGCCTGACACACATGCTCTTCTAGGAATTCAATACCTTCCTCAGCATTTGTTCTGCCTGAAATAATACCTATCTCAATCCAAAGCACATTTCATATATGGCGCATGTGACCCTAGCAGCCACGCTGTGAGGCAGACAGGCAGAAGGAAGAAGCCAGAGAGGGGTTTAGAGCAAAAGCAAAAGAGACTGAAGGAGGAGGCAGCCTGAGGTCACACTGGAAGGTCCAAGCCAGGGCCAGGATGCAGACCCTCGAATTCTATAGAGAGCTGAAACGAGGAGTAGACTTACCACCTGATCTTATTGGAACAATGGAGACTTGAAGTCTACATACTCTGCATTGGGGCTAGTTCATAACAAGTGTTCAAAAAATGAGAAGGATGTGTTTTAGTGTAAAATTAGCAGCTGTTGTAACAAATAAGCCCTAAACACGTGATATCTCGAACACCATCAAGTTTATTTCTTGCTCTTTTAAGAACCAAATGGGTATTTTTAACCTGTGGGTGGAGGTCCTCCAAGCAATATTCAGGGCTCATTCGTCCTGTAGCTTCACTGTCTTCAATATGTGACTCCAATAAGTGAAAGGGGACCAGGCATAGGGTCACACATGTGGGGTTTCTAGGCCAGGGTAGGAAGTACTGCACAGCACTTCCACTCACACTGCTCTCTAGGCCACACCCAATTGCAAGGGAGGCTGGGAAATGTATTCAGGCTTTGAACCTGGAGAAGAAGAAATGGTTTTCTAAACAGGAATGTGATTTTCAGAGTAGATGCACTTTAAAATTATAATTATTTTTCTTGACTGCCCTCTAGGCTGACCTCATTTCTTTTTCCTTTTCAGTTAAACCTGAGGCTCCTTTTGACGTAAGAGTCATCTATCGTGAGGAAGCAAATGACTTTGTGGTGACATTTAATACATCACACTTGCAAAAGAAATATGTAAAAAATTTAATACATGAGGTAGCCTACCACCAGGAAAAAAATGAACATGATTGGATGGTATGTGGGTCAACTACATTTATACATTATGAAATTTATAAATATGTGTATATGAATATACTGAATAAATAAGTTACATATATAAATTAAAATATGTAAATGTATTAAACTATAAAATAGGAACTTCTTAATATTATATATTTTTTCTTCCAGAGGTACATTTACTTAGGCCCTAGGCCCTAGGTCCTAGGGAGGTCCCCTAGTAATTTTGTGCTCAAAATGTACCTTTTACTGAAAAAAGCTTCTAAGAGTAAAAGTTTTAAATCTCCTCTGGCCCAGCCCTCTTCTAACTCTGTTTGCACGCCCCCCCCTTGGGGGAGTGGGTGTTTTGTTGTTGTTGTTGTTGTTTATTTTTATAGTGTTCCTAAATTAAATTGTTGGGCTAACAATATAAGCCAAGACCAAATAAAAATCAATCCTCTTTACTTGGGATCCTTAAAAGGTATCATATTTAGCACAACTTTCACAGGTAAATCAGGCAAAAACACCACCAAGTCATAACAATTGATTTATGGAAGTTGTGGGAGCAGTGGAATGGAGTAAAAGAAGAGAGGAAGGTAGAATTATATCTTTTTAGAGGGAAATAGTTTTTGCTCACTCACCTTACCACTCCCTTTCACCTTTTCTTGGGATGTGAAAGGAGAGAGAAGGAAAAAGAAGAGATTGAAGAGTTGGGGGAGCCCAGCTCACCTGAATAAAGACCCCAGCACCACTGCCCTCTTCCACCAACTGTCGCATCATTTATGAGCTCAGAGCCTCTGTCAAACTACTGCTGGCCCTTCCACATGTCAGTGTTTTCTTGTAACAAATATGAGAGAACTTTGAGCGAATGTCCACATGACTAAAGATGCTCAACTTGAATGAGTTGGGAGATCTGGGCAGCACCTCTTTCTTCATCCTAAAATTGTTGTGGCACTTTTTGCTCTTCAGCACGTGAATTTGTCCAGTACAAAGCTGACACTCCTGCAGAGAAAGCTACAACCTGATGCCATGTATGAGATTAAAGTTCGATCCATCCCTACTGATTATTATAAAGGCTTCTGGAGTGAATGGAGTCCAAGTTCCCACTTCAGAACTCCAGAGGCCAAGGGCCCAGGTGAGAAGTGACTGCAGACTCTGTTTCCCGCAGAAAGCTTTGCAGGTCAAAGTGTGTGAGTGAGAACGAGAGCAAGAGAGAGGATGCCTTTCTTTGGAGAGGACCTGCCATCGTTGCCCTTTTTGTGATGAACCAGGAAGGAGTGGGAGTTGATCAACTGATGAAGGCGGTCTGGACTCTACTGGCCTGGGTGCTCCTAGGACAGTGATGGCGAACCTATGACACGCGTGTCAGAGGTGACACGCGAACTCATTTTTTTGGTTGATTTTTCTTTGTTAAATGGCATTTAAATATAGAAAATAAATATCAAAAATATAAGTCTTTGTTTTACTATGGTTGCAAATATCAAAAAATTTCTATATGTGACACGGCACCAGAGTTAAGTTAGGGTTTTTCAAAATGCTGACATGCCGAGCTCAAAAGGTTCGCCATCACTGCTAATACTTCTGAACAAAATTCCCACCCACTGCCTCCAGTTTACCAATTCAGACTGGGACTCAGTGACTGGTGTTTCTAAGGCCCCTCCAGGAAACACTTTTGTGGAAGGCAGATTGGCAGGCTGATGGGGCTCTCCCATGCCCTTCTTTCCAGAATAATGAAAATATCCTGCTGGTACAGGAAAGGAGAGTGGCCAGAAGAGCCAAAGGACTTGGCTCAGGCAGATCCCTGGGGACCTGAAGCATCGCACATATATCTCCCCTTTGGGGGATGAGATGACTGAGATTGTAAGGAGGGTATCTATTTTATCACCCCCCAGTTTGGCTCCTTTCTCTTGATGATGGGAGTCTAGAAGGGAGTGCTGGTGTCTTTTAAAAAATATTTTTATTGATTTCAGAGAGAGGAAGGGAGAGGGAGAGGGAGATCAAAACATTGATGAGAGAAAAAAATATCAATCAGTTGCCTTCTGCATACCCCACACTGGGGATTGCCCAAAACCTAGGCATGTGCCATGACCAGGAATCAACAGGCAACTTCCAGGTACATGGGATGATGCTCAACCAACTGAGCCACACCAGCTAGACAACTGCTGATATCTTTAATGCTAGGTCACTTTCACATTTCAAGTGACAGATGTTCTGAACCTGGTCACCTAAATCAGTGCCACTTACTGAAGTCAAGATTCCACCATAAAGCTATGACATCATCCTGTTCCCTGAAGAGCAACATTCAAGAAATAATACAGAACCCGAGTTACTAAATAAACTCAGCTCATCCTGAGAATGATGGCTAACTTAGAACTATCTTTGCATTCCAGGAAAGATGGAGACTGTTCTACTAATAGTCAGCATTCTGAGTTTCTTCTCTGTGGCTATGATGGTCATCTTGGCCGGTGTGTTATGGAAAAAAAGGTGAATTCCTTTCATCAAATGGGTGGTTATGTGGGATCCCAGAGAGTCAGAACTCTAACTCTACTTACTGATTAGAACTACAAAGGGGACTAAGGCATTTCAGAAATTATAGTGCCAACATCCCTCTTCATTCTCAGGCATTCATGAATTCCCAGTTTCCTAAGAGCTGAAATATGTAAACCAAACATCAGGCGAATGCTCCCCACCCCCCAGCTTTCCCTCCTAAAGAAGTAGGAGCCCTGCCTCCAGAATTCCAGCACAACTGAAAACACCCATGGAAAAATGTAGAATATATGTGAAGTCTTATTTTAGCACAACATTCATGGGACTTTGGCATTCTACCTTATGAAAAGTCCATGTTTGTTACATCATAAAAAATGATGTTTTAAACACATACCAGTCCATGCTCTAGGAAGATGCTATCAGCACAGGGCCACATATCCCAAGAATGCAAATACTCCAATTTGAAAAGCACCATCTTAAAGCAATTTCCCTGGGTAACTTAGAAAATATTCCTCACTTCTACAAAAATGAGAGAGAATGGGTTGCTGCAAGAAAAGAGAAGGAATAAGATGACAACATATATATTGGGAGTAGATGAGAAGGTCCAATTGTAGCTTCATAACTACACCAAACCACTTCATTGCCACGCCTCATTGTTCCTTTTCTCCAGCACTGTTTCCCAGAGGTGTATCATTATGTTTGTCTCATCCACAGAATAGATCACTGAAAACCATCTCTGGTCCAACTCCTCCACAGATGGTAGGACAATGATGTCCAAATAAGTCACTTCCCCAGTGTGTCCCACCTAGCTATGGCAGAGCCAAGACTAGAAATGCATTCTTCTAATTTCTGGCTCAGAATAAGTGGAAAGATCTATTGTGCCTGCTTCCTATGCCATTCTTCTCATCTATCAATGTCCTCTTATTTCAGAATTAAGCCTATTGTATGGCCCAGTCTCCCTGATCATAAGAAGACTCTGGAGCAACTGTGTAAGAAACCAAAAAAGGCGAGTGCTTCTGATGCTTTTCTGTCACTATGTTCAAGGCAGCCCAACAGCCAGGAATAATATTGCAGGATTAGGAATTGTTGAACCTCAAGTTTTGTTTTTTGGGTATTCCTAACCCAGGATTCCTCATAAGAGTCTAGCTGCAGCTTCTGAAGGTAGGAAACAAAAATGAAATATACATTTCAGGACTGGAGGGCACAGTTAGTGGTGATTTCAGACCCCAAGTGTCATAGCACCTCCAAAAGCAAAGAGACAATTAGAATATGTGGGTTCATCTCTGATATGCTCTGGTAAACCCCTGTCAGAAGTTTTTAGATCTTTTCCTGAACAGCACATTTGACAGTGTGTCTCTCTGGTGCACTCTTTATGCCTTCTCTCTTTTTATTTTGGTGCAGAATTTGACCGTGAGTTTCAATCCTGAAAGTTTCCTGGACTGCCAGATTCATAAGGTGGATGGCATTCAAGCTAGAGATGAAGTGGAAGGCTTTCTGCAAGACACATTTCCTGCACAACTTGAGGAGTCTGAGAAGCAGAGGCTTGGAGGGGGTGTGCAGGGCCCCAACTGGCCAAGCAAGCATGCAGTCATCACCCCAAAAACTTTCAGAGGAGATGCATCCCTCCAGTGCCTGGCTGGGAATGTCAGTGTGTGTGGTACCCCTGTACTCCCCCCCTCCAGGTCCCCAGAGTGCAGGGAAGGTGGAAGGAATGGGCCTCATGTGTACCAGGGCCTGCTGCTTGGGCCTGGAACTACAAATGCCACCCTGCACCCTCCATTTCCTTTCCAATCAGAAATCCTGACATTGAACCCAGCTGCCCAGGGACAGCTCCTCCTCACTCCCTTGGGATCAAACCAAGAAGAAGCATATGTCACCATGTCCAGCTTCTACCAAAACCAGTGAACTGTAAGAAACCCGGGACTGGAACCAAGTGAACAACAAAAATGATTGAGCTCCCACTCTCCCTCACAGCATGAAGAAGACAAAACTAATGCAACCCTCTCTGTAACATACAGGATTTGGAATCATCGCTCCCCCACCTCCCTCCCCACTTTCAGCGCGTGGCAGGAGCATTCTGCTTCAGATATCCAAAGGATTCAATTATTTCAGAAACTACAAAAAGCAGAAAAGAGCAAAAGAAAGGGTGGAGGAAAGGATGGAGATGGAGGGGCGAGGAAGGCAGGAGGGAGCCAGGAAGGAAGGTGAGGAGGACAAGAAGAGCTGCTATTATAGGACTTGCTGAGTGTCCAGTACTGTGTCGGGCTCAGCATGTCTCCCTGCATCCTCACCACTATCCTGGGAGATGGGAGCAATTCTTATTCTTATTGTTTTCTCTGTTATAGATGATGAAACTGAGGCTTAAAGTAACTTGTCCATGCTTCCCACTCAGCCAGGGGAAGAGCCAAAATTTGATGCCCAGAGTCTAAGGGCAGTCTCCCTGGAGCCATGTGCCTTCCCCCTAACTAGGAGTTGTCCCATTCCTGAGTGCCCACCCTCACTAATAACAGGATGACTATATAATTCAAGTCCAAACTGGATCACTTTTGAAAGTGAAAGAAGTTATAAATAACTAGAGGCCTGATGCACAAAATTTGTTCAAGAGTAGGCTTCCTTCCCCTGGCTGCCTGGCACCCAGAACCTGAGCTTCCCTCCAGCCGTGATGCACAAAATTTGTTCAAGAGTAGGCTTCCTTCCCCCGGCTGCCTGGCACCGGCTCCCCTCTGGCACCCAGAACCTGAGCTTCCCTCCAGCCGCCGGCATTTTTATGGGACCAGGGCTTCCCTCGTAGCACCGGCTTCATCCAGAAGGTCATCTGGAAGGACGTCTGGAAGGACGTCCAGTCTAATTAGCATATTATGCTTTTATTATTATAGGTTACTCCAGGACAATAAGCATAAACTGGGGGTGTCCCAGGCAAATGGGGACACAGGGTCACCAGAACCAAAAAAGCTATAGGGAAGAGAATAGGGGAGAAATGGTGTCAGGATATGTGGAGTACCAGGCATGGCCCACCAAGTCTGCAAAAAGTGAATGCCACAAAGCCCATTTCATTTTGTGTTGTGTTGTGTTTTTTTTTTTAATTACCCTGGAGGGAGGTGGTAAATGAGAAGCCCTGGATTTCTATTGTTGGTTATCAAGAGCCCAATCCTCTTGCTACCACTCCCAGATGCACTTATGGAAGGAAGAAAAACCTGCTGTCCACTCTGGTCACCCCGGAGCATGGTAGCAGCGAAGGGGGAATAATCCTTCTGTGTGTATAGAGGCAGCCCCGACCCAATTTCATCCTCAAACTGTCCAAGTTCTGCAGCCATCGATGCCGCCACAGACTTCAAGGAGATGGAGTTACAATAAGCACATGCAGCAAGGGGAAGTGAAGATGGACAGGTTTTGGTCGGGGCTTGTTGTCATTTACCTTTTGTGTGTTTTTTCTTTGTTCTGATTTTAATTTGTTTGGGGGAGGTTGTTTTTAATTTTTGATTTTTGCTGTTTTGTTTTGGAATGTCTGTGAAGGGAGTTTCAAGGGTGGACTAACAGACATTATCTATTGGCTTAGACCCAACAGTAATCAGAGCATCTACTCTTCAGCTGGTTCTTACTTTCCAAGTCCTTTTCTCTGAATCAGTAGTAATGAATATAATCCCGTCATCGCTCAGATTTGCTTCATGCCTGTGATCGTCACAGGACCTCCATGAGTGATATCTCTTTCCTTTCCTTGATAAGTATTCATGAAAAGCCTGCTATGTGCAAACCACAGGGTTAGGAACAAGAGATCTAAGCCAAATAAGGTTGGGGCCCTACTCTCATTCAGTGAAAAATTTAATGAAAGTGGCAGCTTTGTAAACAAATGGTTATAATCATATAAAGTGCTATCCTGGAAGCATGTGCACAGTGCCTGCTGGAGACAGAGACAGTACCACAGTACACCAGCAAGGAGAAAACACAGAGCCTGCGCATGTGAGCAGAAGACATCTTCCACCAGCTGGGTGTGTGTTCTTCACCCTTTGCAGAAATGGGAGCCACGGTGACCTCAAAGAGGAGATGGGCCATCCCAGGAAACCTCCCACCCAACCTGGCTCTTTTGCACCCTATTCAGAGAGGCCCTCTGAAGTCTTTGTTGTCAATACCTCCAACTTATGGAAAAATGGAGACACAGAAGGCAGGTAAATTACTCAGTCTTCCATGTTAAGTCAGGACTAGAAGCCATAAGTTTGCATCCCTGAAAAAAACAGACAATCTCTTAAAGAAATGAGGAGAAAAGTTGAGCCCCTCCAGGTTCAAAATCCTTCAGGGTTGTTTGGCATAGGTAATAATTTGAATTTAGTGTGAGATTGCCTGTCTGTTCCTGGAAGCATTTATAAACCATGTATCATACTCATAATCCTCACTGCTGCTAATGCTTGAATATATATATATTCAGTATATATACACCCTGAGAAAACGTATGATGTAAGGAGACAAATTTTCTCTGATCAATCACCCTTTGGATTTTTATTAAGCAAGAAAAATTTCTGATCAGAGATTATGTGTGAATGAGAGATGAAAACTGCTGGTTCTGTAGAGCAAGAAATGAAAAGAAAACTGATGGAGAGACAGCGGAAGTTGGTCAATGAAACAATCTAAAGTAGGGAGCCCTGCTTATTTGGTTGATTTTCTACCAGCTTTTGCCTCTCTGTCACCCTGGTTTCCATGGGAATTTGCTTCAGAAAGCCGAGTGTAGGCTGTTTCAGATGCATATGCTTGTGTTTTCATAGCATTGCTAGAGGGGCTTTGAGATCGAAGAAGCCAGGAAGATGGGAACAATCCATGGATGGACAATTGGAACCATACAGATCTGATAGCATTTCTGCCAGCTCAGTGGGTGTTTTTTATTGGGGGAATGGGGGGTGGGGGTGTTATTCTTGAAAACATCCACTGTTCACTACAGTAAACCTTCCTCATTTGGCCATGTACTTTCCACATGCATTACAAGCATTTTTGCAGAGCTGCTAAGTATATAAGTCTCTGATATTTAATTAAATGCTATGAAACTCTCCATGACTGTGCGTGTCTTCTGTGATAAATACGGACGGAGGGACACCCATAACGGGCCACAGTTCTCCTCAGCCACTGGAAAGGACCCATTCTGGTGCTACCTGCTGTCATTATATGGGTTTGGGTTTTCAGAGGAAACTTTTTCATCAATTAAGTAATTAATTCACAAATTAATGAATTGACAGAAATTTGTTGAGGATCTGCTGTGTATTCGTTTGCACTGTGCTGGGCATTGAGCTTACAAAGATGAGAGGGAATGGTCCTAGCTCATGCTCACATGGGGGCAAAGACACACAGGAACCGTTACAATGTCATATCATGACTTTAAGGCAAAGTATCATCAGGATTAGTCGCTTTAAGCAATAAAAGTCAATTTGGCTAATTTCAGCAGAGAAGGAATTGATAAAAGGCTTTAGAGAGCTCACAAAATATCTGGGAGAGTCAAAGAACCAAACATGGAGGCCACGAGACACCTTGCATCTCTATGACCGGCAGCTCCAGAAGCTGAGAGCAGCCACTTCCCTGGCCACCAGCAGCCCCAGAGCAGACTCGCAGCAGTGCCTTCACGTCCCTGGCTGCTGGTTTACAGGCAGAGTTGAAGCCTGTGGTCAGTTGCAGCCACGCTCAGTTCATGTGCTGGGACGTAGCCATGGGTAGGAACAGGCTCTGCCTCAGAGAGTGGGGGGTTCCCCAAATAAAGGAAGGGGGTTCTGCTGCTGGGCAAGAAACACACACACACACACACACACACACACGGATGCCTTAAGGAAGAAGGCCCAGAAAGGGTAACGTAAAGAAAGTCCACTTAATGCGGTAGCAGAGAGTGAGTAGGAATGTGCCAGACCAAGGAGCCTGGAGAGCAGAGAGGACATTTCCAAGAGAGGAAACAGCATGTTCAAAGTCACGGAGCCACGACAGACTGTGGAACATGTGGGAGTTACGGATACACTGGGTGATGTCTCCTTACCTGTCTCAGCTGGAAGCGATTGGGGGTTGGTGCTTACTCCTGAAAGTCAAACACAGGGCACTTTCACAAAAAAAATAATAGGCATTTACCTGTAATACTTTATTTTAATTAAAAACGTATGTCTGTATGGCCATTCATCAATCTTCTGTTCCAAGGCCATGGCTGTTCCTTTGAGTGATGGGTCACTGATTATAGTTTCATGCTGCCTAGAATTCCTAGGGAATGCACGCTATAACACATCCTCTGATCTTTGGAATTCTGCTTTTTTTTTTAAATGAAAAAGATCTTTCCAAAAAATCTAAGTGCCGTTGCCTAACTTTTAAAGACACCTGCCACTCCAATCTTTTGCCATCACCTTTCCAACCCTATGCTAGCAGAATTCTTGCAATCTGCCTTTATCAAGTCTTTTCACACCATTCAAGATTGTTCTGATAGATCAACATCAGTCTTCCTTTGTATACCCATGTTTCATCAGCTTGCATCACAGCATTGTAATAGCAAGTACAGCTGGCCTACATAGGTTTGGGAACATACACAACGGACTGTACAGGATACACAAGAGGACAGCCAAGTCTCAAGGTGGGTGTCTATGTATCTCACGGAGAAAATGGCAAATGCTGGGCCATTTGGCAGGTGGCTGAGTGGAAACCATCAGTGAGCATCTACTTAGCTCAGCATTCCTAGTCCAGAGAGGCTGCCGAGCAGTGGCTGAGATGACACTTGGTAGAACTGGTGGGGGGCCATGGCTAAGCAGCTGACATGCCAGTCTAAGAGTTTTGATTTAGTCTGGAGGGGAAGGGGGTACTTGGGAGAATTTTAATCAGGGGTGTGGCATAATAAATTCCCAGGGCTTATGGAGGAATCCTAATGTACCTTCTACTTACCCCTCATGTCCTCACACTGATGTGTAATTTCCAAATTTGTCTGATTCCCCTCTGAACTTCTAAGCACTCTGGCAGAGAGGACAATGACTATTGAGATTGATGCCAATTGCTAAACACGGTCTCTAACATCTAGAAGACACGCAATCATAAATATGGAGTTAATGAATCAACCATTCGTGAATGACATTGTATCTGTCCTCGTGTTTCCTGGTGGCCATTCAGGATCGAAGCATGCCAGGCCAGGATGCTCAGGCAGGCAGAGGCAGGCACTGCATCCCTGAGAGGATAGTACATGTGCACTCACGTGGAAGAAGTCGGTTGTCTTCCCCATCCCCAGCTGCACTCTTAACCACTGTGACCACAGAAGTGGGGAAACAATAGGTGGGGTGGGGTGGGGTGGGGTGGAGAGAGAACTTTCCAAAGTTTCATCTCTCTGATGAATGTCTGCATTGTCATTTTGTTTGTTCATGTATTTACCTTATTCTACATCAACTTCTACTTCTGAATGTTAATGGTTTGCGTCATTTGTGTGGGATTTGTGTGTAGCTTGCAATGAGGCAGCTGTTCAAAGAAAACAAAGCCTGGTGAGTCCACAGAATACACTCACACTCCTCACGACACGGGTAAATACCCAGGGCAAATAGCACGCCCAGCCCCTGCGGTTTGAAAAACAACATTTCAATGCTGAGTTCTGCAGGAGCATTTGCATTAGTCTGGTGGCCCCTCCCCGGGAAATTGGGGGCC